GTTTCAAAGCCAGCTTTAACCTTATGGGTTTTCTGTGTGTGTATGTTACCCTTTTGCCTGGAATAACTGTCTAAGCACGTGTTTGCATTTGAATATCCAGCCAAAGGCAGATCCTAGTGCTGGCAAACTGAAATTCGTGGTGGAGAACTGTGTTAAATTTTAAAAGAAAGTCATTAACTCCCGAGCCAACCAGCTGAATGTGCAGTTTGCTGGAGACTCTAATAGACATGCAGGTTAAGGTCAGTCCCCAGGGGTTTGAATGTTAAGAGAGAAGTTAGAAAGAGTCGGTACCTCACTGTTGGGAGCCAGTAGAGAAAGGGACTGTTGCACGCGCCACTGCCACCATCTCTTCCCGGCATGCAATTTAACTTTTAACTTCCTAGTACTGGAGCTCTGCTCCCTTGGGACATCTATATACTGTTTCCCCCCCCCATGCTCCCCCCTTTACAGTGGTGCCAAGATCAAAGGCTCGTGGCAGCTAAATCACAGCTTGAGCACAGGACGCTGGTGCTTGGACGTTGCTGGAGAGAGTGACTGTCCCGCGTGGGAGTCATGGAGCAGCTGGGAGAGCCAGGGCTCACACGTGAGTGCTCGGATGATTTCTCCGCTTAGTTTGCAGTGCTGCTCTGTCTCCTGGGTGAATGATGGATTATGACTGTGCAGGTGCCTGTTTATCACCACTGAACCAGATCCTGGTGCTTGGAGGAGATGAGGGACTGTATCTCCCACGTGCCCTTTGTGGGGTGTTGGAGATGCCCAGCTCCTTGCGGGATCATGTTTGACCTTGGGGCTCTCCGCTAGTGCCTTGCGCTGCAGGATGGAGCAGACTTGAATCTGCTGGGTTTGAGAGTTAGGAGTGATTTTTGCAGTGAGCCTCAAGCCCTCTGGGAGGAGGGTGTGGGGGACTCCCATGGCCTTGGAGTCCCAGAGATCCGCAGAGACTCTTCTTTACCTTTACTTTTTTTTTTTATTTATTTTGAAAAACCCTATCGCATGGGATTCTTTTACCTGAATCTGTGAGACTGCTTGCTTTAGATAGAAAGACAATGCATTTTGTTACTGTCCTGTTTGTCTTTCTTTTTGCCTCTTAAAAGCATTTTGCAATACAGACGTGGAGAGGGGAGGCTTTGTGTGAGCCTGGGGAGCTCCTAGGAGGCAAGGTGGCATGTAAAACACCTCTCACCGCTTGCTGCGTGTGCTGGGGAGAGCTGCTGGCTTGGCAGTGCCACGGAGGAACAACACAAGCTGTGGTCTTGATGCTGCTGTGGGGATGTGTGGTGAAGGAGATGAGGACATGGCAAGGCTGGGCTGGTACACACTCTGCTTGCATTAACAGAGGTTCAGGATACCTGGGACTACAGAGTGGATCGTCTGCTTGTTCCCTCAACAGGACTGCTTGGTGTTGGGTGTCCTGTGGGTTGAGATGTGCTGTGCTGATCATTGATAGCTGGGGATGCTGTGCACTGAAACATGCAATTCGAGGCTGTGTTTTTTTTTCAGGGGCAAGTAAATTTGCTGGGATAAAGTTTTAATTTTGATGGGTGGCAGATGGAGATCACTGGGAATATCAGCAAATGGATTCAGCTGAACAAATGAGGCGAAGAGTTTTTGATAAGCCTGAGGGAACATTTTGAAGAAATTAGAAATTACCCCGTATCCCTGAGCAGTGCCCATCCCACCTGTGTGCTGGTTCCTGATTGTCCAGGACAGTGCTTTAACACCAGTTACCTGTGTCTGTGGCGCTCAGGCATCAACAGGGCTTCTGGGGGATGTGACGAGGGATAGATGGATGTTGGGGACAGTGGCAGCATCCTTCTTCAATCTTCAAGGTTGTCAAGCAGCATTGACTGTGACCACAGCAGTCCAGGACCTCTCTTCGGGGGACCTCCATCTGCGATCTTGCTGTCAGACACAGCCATAAGAGAGGGGTTTTGAGCCTCTGTGAGGTTTCTCTGCAGAGCCCAGGGCTGCGATGATGAGGGGTCCCCAGACCTCCCTGTGGGGAGGAAGGGAGAGCTCTTGTAGTGTTCTGTAATATAAATACATGTGACTCAGTTCCTCTCCCAGCTTTGTTGCCAGTGCTGCCTGTGAGAACGGGATGAAGGTGAGGATGGGATGAAGGGGTTCATCCCCTCCCCAGCTCTGTGTCCAGGGCTGTCTTGCATGTCAGCAGATGTGGCTGGGATGTGGTAGAGGATGTGACACCTCCAGTTTCAGCTCGTTACAATCTGGATGAGCTCTGATATTGGTGAGCTCTGCTGGAGCTGAAGGCTTCACTGCTGGGGAAAGCCAGACCTGCTCCGCTGGCTGTACCTGTGTCTACAAGGAGAGCACAGAGCAGGCCATGGGGATGTGTTTCTAAATGCCGGGGTGCAAATATCTCCTTGGGCAGCTGGGACAGGGAACTGCAGGATGTCGTGGCATAGGCTGTGTGCTTGGCCAGGTCGTCTCTTTGCTGGAGAGCCTGTGTGTGGTGCAGGGAATTACTCCTGGCTGCTGGCAAAGGACTCGTTTCCTCTCTGGGGCTCCGTGTTCCCCTCCTTGTGTTCTGGGTTTTGTCGACTGCATTGATCCCTACCTCACACAAAGCAGCTGTGCCAGATGCGGGAAGCCAGGTACTTGTTATGGGCAGAGATGCTTTTATCACAGAGTCCCAAGAGCTGGAGCAACCTTTCCCCTCCTGTGTCCACCACGCTCCACCAGACCTTGCCCTGAGTTTGCGGCTTGTTGGAGACTGGCTTCCCCAGCTGCCCGTGGGTTACTGGGTCCTGAAGGATTCAGGAGCTCCGGGGGCTGCAGGGTAGCACTGGGAGCTATGGGGCCACCAGGCAGCCAAAAGAGTTTAGTTGGTGGCCCAGGCTTGCGGGGTCTGGACCAGTGTCACCAAGCTGCAACTTCTGCTTGCCTCCCATGCCTCTGACACCATCAGCCTTGCTGGGAAACGGGGATCCATCTTTCCCCTGTACTCAAATCCAGCAGTATTGTGAGAAAAGACTGTGATGGAGCTGCTGAGAAACCAGAGGTTGTGGGAGCTCCTGGTGCTCTGGCTCTGCCTGTTCCACAGGTATTTCTACTTGTTGAAATGTCCTACATTGCTCGTGCATCCTCTGCATTTTGATTAGGGCAGCGAAGGCCACTACGGTGCTAAACAAACAAGCAGCAATTAAAGAATAAATCATGTCTTTGTTAGGGGCCCCCTCTTTACCCCGCCCTGAACTCTGGATTCCTCTGGCTGGAGACAGTAGGAGGTGATGGGGGGCAGAGCTGGAGCCTGCTGCTCCCAGGCATCGCTGCCGAAAGGCTGAGCAGCAGGAGGGCGGCTCAGCTGTGCCGACAGCTCTCACCCACGGTTTTGCCTGGTGCCTCTTCCCCTGGGCTGTGCAGTCCCCTGGGTGCAGGAGGCTTCAGCAACGCAGTGTCCCTGAGGATGGATCTAGGTGCTTCCCTGAGCAGGAAGGCGACTCTCGCAGCCCGGGTGGACTCAGCTCTGGGCCTTTTTTGCTCCACTGATCGCTGAGCTGCATATCATACAGCTCGCATCCCAGCTCGTGCCTCGCTGCCGCGCTGTGTGAAGAAGAAGGGATAAGGAAGCACCTGGCCCCTTTCCACCATGGGGCAGGAGTCTTGTGTGGGAGCTGCCAGCAGAAAGTCCTGCTAGGCCTTCACAGGCTCTAAATATCTTAGGAGGCAAGTAAAACGAGTGGTGTTAGCTGGCTGCTTGGTTGGGTGCCTTCTCAAGGCCCCTGCGGGTTGCCAAGGTTAGGGCTGAGCACTGCGGGGGGCAGGCAGCCCAAACAGAGCCGCACTCTTTGTCTGGAGGCCTTTGGAGACTGCCGGGTCTTATTTGTCTCTCCCCTGATGCCCAAAGGGGCTGTGATTTATGGCAGCGGTACAATAGGTGTCTGTTGGCAGTGATGGATTGGGCTGTCCGGAGAGCATCCCTCCTTCCTTCCCTCCCTTGCTCGCTCTGTGTCTCTTCTGTTGCTTTTCCTGCAGTTTCAGGCAGTTTTGCTGGTATAAATTCAGCTGAATTAAGCCAGTGCCCCTGCCAGAGAATAAGCCAAACTTTGGGGGAAAAGGCAGCTTTTCTAGTGAGCAAACAGCCTTTCCAAATTGCCTGCTTCTCTGCGCCAGGACCCTTCAGCTAGAGGCTGTGAAGATGGAGCTGGGGGGATGTTTTGGGGTACCCGAAGGCATTGGGCAGTGTGCGCTAGGTGCTGTACGTGCTGGTACACACTGCCACGTCATGGGGCTGAGCGGCATATCCTGGCTCTGGAGGGCTCGATCTTGCATCAAAATCACAGGTCAGGCTCTTTCGCTTTTACGGATTAGGGGTGTGTGTGACATGGCTCCATCATGGGATGAGGGACGCTGCTCTGCCCCACTGCCCTCGCAGGGGAATTAACCTGTGATTCTGCAGCTCGGGCTGTGTTTGCACTGGGTCTGCTTAAGGGCAACATAAGACACTTGTGCTGCACTAATCCTGCACTGCTCATCTCTGTGGAAGAAGCCTGGACAGATGTTTCTGATCCTGAAGAGTTACTGGGCCATGCTGATTCCTCTGCTTTGTGCTGTGGCTGGGAGATCTCTCCATCAAGGCTCCCATTTCTGGGTCTGTGCAATTTTGTCTCTATCAGCATGGGATCCCATGGGAGGTTCCCGGGTGGTGGTACGATGGCTGTGAGCGAGGAGGGGCAGGCTGGGGCTGCTGTGCCATCTGCAGGGTGATTCCTCCGATTCCTCCTTGTGCGGAGCCTCCCTGCTGCTCTGAGCATGAGCACATCAGCAGGTTGTGGGCTGGGAGCTGGATCTGAGCTGGAGCCTTGCAAGACTGTCCTGAACACCCAACAGTGGCAGGGCAGCATCTCTAGTGTGCTGGAGAGCTACTTACGGACTAACGAAGCCCTGATGGGCTTGGTCGTCTGTTTTAAATATAACAAAATATAACAGTACTGAGCAGAGCCTCTGGGATGCACTTGGTGCATGGCATGTAGAGGGCCATGGCCAACGCTGCAGCTGAGACGCGTGCCAGGGGTGACTCTGAACGTGGGTCTGTGTTCTCTGTGACACTGATCTAGTGAATCGCCGTCACTCTCCTTTCTGCACACAGGCAGGGCTGGGCAGCGGGGTGATGGTGTGGGACAGATGTGCCCCCCTGCCACACGTGCCACATTTGTGCAGGGGAAGCTCAGTGCAGGAGACCTGGCAGCGTGGTATTCTGGGGAAGGCTGGGGCAAGGTGGAGACATACCCTTGTGGCAGGGAAAACCAAGGGTACTGCAGAGCCTGTGATGTCCCCTGTGTCCCAGCTCCCTGTCCTGCCCGTGTCCTATTCTCATCTCCTCTTTTCTCTGGCAGGGACAGGGCAGAGTCCCCGGTTGCTGGAGCTGCAGCATCTGCCAGCCCTGACGAAGGGGCGATGCGGGGCTGTACAATCCTCCCTGCGGAAGCAGAGGGGACCGTCGGGGAGCAGGAGGAAGATCAGTCACGCACGAGTGAAGGGGAAAGGTAAGTGATAGGGGTGTGAGAGGGGCTGTGGGCCAGTCGGGGGCTCAGCCCTGGCCAGGAGTGTGTGTGGGGGCGACCATGGGGGTGACCCATGCTGGGCTGCACCCTTGTCTCGCCCGGCCTTCACTTTTCAGGGCTGAGCTCTCCCATTGCCCACCTCTGCCTGGGCCCAGGGCAGCAGGACCTGTGAATTGGCTGCTTTCACCCAAAAGCCCCTACAGGGCTGATCCAGGCTCACCACAGGCCCCCCAGGCTGTTGTGGACACTATAGCCTCACAGCAGTGCCACGAGGAACTGAACTCATTGAGCGTGGCATTTCCTGCAGCGTGGGGTGGTGTGGGAGCAGGTCCACTCTGCTGGGGGCTCTGCCGGAGATCAGTCCCCCATGGGATCCTGCACCATGGGGAGCAGGGCTGCATGGAGCCGTGGGTGGGAAGCAGAGAGATCTGGGACAGCCCAGCCTTTGGGGAGGTTTTTTTTTCAGAGAAACCATCTCCATTATTCCTCCACACTCTCCAGCGCTTGTGCTCAGCTCTGAGTGCCTCCTGGTAAGCTGTGGAGCAGCGTCCAGAGCTGGTGGGTGCATCGCCAGCTCCCGGGTGATGGAAAGGGCTGCTCTGGGGTCTTGCAGAGTGACCCCATGGACCTGGGGGGTTGCGTGCCTCTTTCCTTCTCATATGAGAGCCGGGCAGGTAACCCATGCCCTGCCATCCCTCCCTTTCTTGACTCACCCCCACAGACCAATTCTCCCACACCCTTTCCTCGTCTGCAATAACTTCCCCGAAGTGCTGTGAATGCTGCTGTCCCGTGTTGCTCCAGTGGGATAGTTCCCCGAACAGCTGAGCATGTGCTAGCAAACCCGATGGCACTGACAGTCATGGGGATTACTTACAGCCTGGCACACTGCAGAGGAGAGGAAACGCTGCAAGGTTTTCCCCTTTTCCCAGGAGCTCGTTCCTGGTGCATCAGCAGGGTGGCCGTGGGACGGTGCTGGCGTGGGTCTGGGGTCCGCAGGGGAGGGCAGAGCGCTGCCCGCATCCTTGCACGTGGCTGCGGCGCGGGGCTCGGGCCTGTTTGCTCAGACAGGTGCAGTCCCCGTTCAAATCCGCAGGGCCAATGGGAGCCGCG